TAATCCTTACCTCCAACGAACCAAACTATTCTAATGAAAATACTTCATTACAATTAATTAATAACTAGTTGGCCCGTGCGAATAATTCGCAGAAAATTTTGTTTACTGAAAAAATAGCAAAACAATATGGAAATAATTAGTTCCTATGTATTATGTAAGAAAGGAATTAATATTTTTTCTAAGGTCGATTACAATATTTCATTAAACATAATTGAGAAAAATATTTGTACAAATTGCTTTGCTAGGATCTATTTTTAAACGCTGACTGGAAAGATAATAAAAGTAATAAAGACAAAATAATGCCCAGATCAACGAATTTTCTAAATTATTAAAAAAAAATAAATTAAGAACAACCAAATGTTTTTAAGAAATAATAAAATTAATATATCAGCCAGGAAAAAAAATGTAGTAGACTATTCTACTCCTAAATGCAATATCTTTAAATAGGAAGACATTATTAAGTATACCTAAACTAATGGACTGTATCTTTGTTAATAATCGTACGATTTTTTTTTTTGTTTTGTAGGTAATTTAATAATCTTTCTAATTATCATAGGTACAATCCAGAAAAAAATGCATACTTTTTGAGTTATTGGCAAATAAAGTTTATTTTACTTCATAACTTTTTTTACAGAAATGTCGGGGGATATTTTTCGTATGTGAAGGAGATGAATATCTTCAAAATGAGTGATCAATCATTGGATTTGATGAAGAATTGATGAAGTTGCGGAGACAAAAAAACAATATATAGGATACTGATAACTAAAATATTTGAATTAATTTTATATGTATTCCTGGAAACAGCAATTTTGTTACCTAGTGCAATTTATTATTTTATTTCATCTTTGTTATCTTTATAATTTCATAATTTTGAGCAATGGCTTGAATTCTGTCCCAATTGCAAAGGCCTTGGCCTTCAAGCATTTTCTTTATTCCATTTCGGGTCATCGATTATGGCGGAATGCCAAGTCCTGCTTATTTCTTCTCCAGATTAGATGGCTTGATATTAGATCCTCTTCTTTAAACATCCACTTCATGACAGCCTTCCAGAGCTGGTTTTAGATATTTAGCCTCCAGTTTTGGTCAAGTTTCAAAGACGTTCTTCGAATATCACATTAGAAATTTGAAAGTAAACTCACACTAAATTAGGAATAAAAGGGATTTAAAGTATATCATATCTTTCTGTTTATCGTCTTCGATATGGGAATGATGCTACATATTGTTGATTATCAACTTCTTTAAAATATTTTTATTAAAATATTGACGAGGTAATACTTCCTACTATACATACCACTATAGCTTGGCCATAAATAGAAGGCCATCTCCACTTCTTGTTCCTCATCTAGTTCCCCCACTGTTCTTTTGTTCAGGTTGTTGCGATATCGAGCAAGTTCCGAAATTCTTTATCGATATCATTTTCGGTCTTTGATATCGATATTAGTATAATGTGGAATAAAAAACGAAATTTTAGAGCTATATTACAGCCGGCTTAATGAAAAATTCATTTATTAACTTTTCATAACCTTAAATCATTTAAAACATTAATATACAAGACTGAAACGTCAAGAACCCGCTCGACGTTTCCGACTACTCCATCACTTACTAGACAAACGCTCTAAGCTTTCAATCAATTACTAACGACTCATATATATGACAACAATAAGACCTATTTGGACTTACGGAATTGAGCTTTGGGGCTCCACTAAACCATCGAATTCCTCTCATATCCAATCCTTACAATCCAAAATCCTTCGTAAAATCCTCAACGCTCCTTACTTTGTCATAAAAAAAATCCATAAAGACATTGTGACATTGTGCGCTAGTTGTAATTATATTTGATGCGCATGGATAATTGCTGTCAACAATCTTGTGTCATTTTAGAGCACTTACTTTTTTTTTTCATCGATAATTTGGTCAAAATTTACAAAAGCATCCTTAAAAGTTCAGCTCCATTTACTTAGTGGCTTCTTCTGATAACCCGACGATATCAGCTATATTTTGTAATATATCGAAATATTTAAGGGTTAGTATTTCAATGGTTTAAAAAATAGTGATATATATTAATACGCTCATTATAGGTTTTTTTAATATTAAATCGATTAAAGTTTATGATCAAAATCCTATGTTGGCTTTTTATTTCGATAATACTGTAATATCGAATCCTATGTTTCGTTAAGATATTGGGCGATATCGATCTTATCACAACATCTCTAGGCATTAATAACTGGCATACTCACTCAAACACTTTCATCTGTAACTAATGTATCTTTACTTTCTTAAGTAATGTAGTTTTTATAACAGGATACCCCGCCTCTGTATTGTCTACTATTTTAATTCATTTAAATTGGATCTTTTGATTTTGTTATCGAAGTTAAACTGTATCAAACTTCTGTCAACGTAAATTCTCTGATAAATGACGTAGATTAAATTAAACGCAAGAGTATATTAAAAGTTGGTAGCAATAAACGTAGATAAGGAATTACTGGATACAATAAAGTGAATGGGTAATACCCACGATCATGAATTTAGCATGACAAATCTAAGAAAATATTACAAGAAATGGGATTGTGATAGCATTTCCATGACTACGAGTACCACTCATCCACTTTGTTGCATTCAGTATTTCTCTATCTACATTTAATTTTACCAACTTTAGATTTACTCTTGTATATTTACTTAGTTTTATATTTGAATGTTCTTAATACTTTTTACTTAGTTTGTTCACAATTGTCTTAATTTTTTATCTAAATATGTTGTAAATCATGGTTACTTTTTTTTTTCCATAATAGGGTATAAGTTGACTGTATATTAAGATGTATTAATTTAGTATATTTAGATATATTAGAGAGAAGTTGGTTGGGGTTTGCAGTTAATGAAAACGCAAAGTAAAAATAAGCAAATTATAAATATATTTTTATTTCCTTTATTCAAAAGTTTCTGCCTCAGTTTCAGGGCTTAGCAAAGACAAGATAACTAGGAAATAGCAGACAGTAACAGTAAAAATACATAGGTAAAAAAATAAATCAAATAATATATAGGTCGTTAAACTTAATATTAAAAAATATGTGGAATGGCAAATTTAATAATTAAGAATGGATAATTTAGATTAATAATTTTCCATTCCACATATTTATCAATGTCAAGTTTAACGACCTACATATTATTTGACTTAGTTTTTTATCGATCTTTTTTTTTTTACTATTTCCTCAATATTTATATTATGCGTTATCTTGTCTTTGCTTAGCTCTGATGAAGGCCTGGAACTATAATTTATTTATTTTTACATTGTATATTTATTGACTCAAAATCCCCCCAAAAAAATCTCTTCAGTGTTACTTGGATTTATATTTGAATCTTAATACTTTTTATTTAGTCAGTTTATAATTTTTTTATTTAAATATCTTGTAAATCCTGCAGTATTACCTAGCTTTGTATCTTGTTTTTTCTTGTTCTGATAAGGACCTGTATAGTTGAGTGAAAACATTGGCTTAATAAAATAGTTATCACTGTTTTTAGTTTTTTGATGACGGCCTTCTCGTACCACATTTTTCCTATTAATTAAATTAGAGATAACATGGTACCTTTTTTTTCTATTTATAAGATTTTAAGTCTATGAGATGTATTGAATTGTCTACTAATATTGAACTCACTCTTCTGTATGTATATTATCTTTGTTTTTATTTTTTCTTCTATCAATCTACATCTCTGGATATAGATTAAATTAGACTTTTCTAATGTTTACAATACTATTATAAGTATGCATTTGAACATACTAAGGTACAGATTTAAATCATTCATTTTAATTATTTATCTACTTTTTTTCATTAGTACAATAGTTTGACAACAAAAGTAATTTATCTTTCTTTTTCCAATTCCATTAAGTTATTTTATATTTTGTTGTTTGTAGCAACTATTTTGAATATATTGCTCTTTTTTTTTTCTTTAATGTGTCTGTATAACTATGTAAATATTTTTGGTTTATTATTTTCAAAAATCAACCATTGTGATCGAACAAAAACTTAACCCCCTCTCAAAATTTGATGTTTCACTTTTCAGGATGCGTAGAATCCGAAAAACGAATAAAAATGTTTTTGCCCGTCCGCCGTCCGCGCATTTTCTCCGAACTACTGGACCGATTTTTTTCAAATTTGGATATAAAATCAGAGGTCGCCCGAGGACGATCCTCCTTCATCGACATTACTATCCGCCTTTTACTTTCAAAATGGCGGCCAAAAAACCTGCGTTGCTATAGACTGTAGGTTCTAAACGAATGTACCGATTTCAATGAAACATCGCGTCATTTTCTTAACGCCCTTTAAATTTATCTATATAACATACTTCAATGAAAAGAAGCTGGAAAAAAAGTTACGAGGGATAAAATTTAATTCCGAATAACTTAAAAAGCATACACATTTTTTTTATATTGTATATGTTTTTTTAAAAGTTTACGGAATTTCCTAAAAAATAAAAATAAAATAAAAATTATAAAATAAATAAAAATCGTTAAAATCGGTCAATTAGGAGCAAAGATGTGGTTTCCAGTTATTTTTTTTATTTGTTCTTCTCCAAATGTTAAATCCTTTATTTGGTTATTAAATAATTTATGTGTTACTGAAGTAATGCTATTGTTTGTAGCATATTGCTAATGATTAAAAAAAAAAGTTTAGTCCAATAATTGGAATCACCCTTTATTTATTTTTCTTTGTAACTAGGAAGGTAATGTTACTTTAGATGTATAATTGTTTGGAAATAATAAACCATTGTGGAATAATTTGCAGCGTTTTCTTATTACTTACGTCTTAGATATTCTTTTAATGTAATATGTATTTAGGCCAGATGTAATGTTAATTGTTATGATCGATATTGTTATTCTTAAAGGACTTTGTCCCAGAATATAGTTGATTCTTCTATTATATTCTACCTCTGAGCTTAGACACCGTTGAGTTAATTTCCACTGACCAGGAACGGATTCGAGACCCCCATTGACGGGGAAGCCATTGATGATTGGGAACCGTAACAGCGAGAGGTTTGTAGACTACACGCCCACGAAGAGAGGAAAGGGCTGCCTACACTTCGACCCACACAGCCCGCTCACAAGGTAGGGCTCCAGTGAAGAAATCTACCTACGGTCCTTCCCACAGCCCAAATTCGCTTCTGTTCTAAAAAAAAGAAATTTAATTACTGGAAACACCAGTCTGCAACTCCTAATTACTCACATTCGGGGCCTTACGTATACATTGTTTTTTATTATCAATATTCATGAATATTATATAAATTCTCCTTTCATCATCTATTGTATACATTTCTTTATAGTCCAGTAAAATTTACAATTGCTGGTTCCGTATGGACACTGCTACAAGATTCTTTTAGGTGGAAACAAACTAAAAGGTGGATTTATTTTAGATTGAATAAGGCATGGTCAACTAGTATTTTAATTATTATTATAAATACAGTATTTCATATATCAAGTAGGTGTATTATGTGGTTTTAAAAAACAGCATAACTTAATTACCAAATCAGGGGACGGGGTAGCCGAGTGGGCTAACGCGTGTGTAAAATAAGTGATATACGGGAACCTGATAAACCGAAGATTACGAGTTCAAATCCTGGTCCCGGAAAGAGTTTGAACTTATAAATTAATACCCCTTCCTCTCCTCTGACCCAGTAAAAACACAGTATAACCTACACGGAGGGAGAAAAAAATACCAAATTTTGTTGTTTATAATACATTTAAATTTTTATTTGTTGTCATCAGTTTTAACAACACCTTTAATTATATAAGTAATTTAATAACATTTTGCACAGAATATTTGGATCGAAAAAGTACGAGTTTCCCTGGGTATTTAAATTAATTAAACACACTTAATTTTTTTTTTAATTTAAAAAATAATAGTCTCATGCCCTACCGACTGAACTAGACGGACAAAAAAAGAATTAATCAGTACAATTCCGATATTGCCAGAAGAAGATTAAGCTTGTCTTACAGACTAAACCATCTTTTGATCTCATCAAATCTATCCCTCCGCCTCAATGGATTAATTTAAAAAAAGGTTTTTAAGGTCGTCTCTTCTTCATAGAGCGCCGATGTTATCAAATAGACACACTTCGTTACAGAGGACAAAAAGAGACTAAGACCTTACAGTCCTGGACCCAGGACCCAAAAATCGACCTAATCGCAGGCGAAGGTTTGATTGTAAATTACGAAAGTATTTGTTATTCTGAGTAAAAAGAACTTTGTCTGCCGTTCCAGAGACAATTCTTCAATTTATTAAAGAGTACACTTTTCGCTTTTTTAAAGAGTTATAGGTGAAAAAACCAAAAAATGTCGAAAAAATCTGACTTTTTTGGCTATAAAAAGTTTTCCGTTGGTGGCTCGCGATAGCGATTTTGTTTTTTACATGTCTAAACACTTATTTACAAGTAAAAAAAATAAAAGCTTTTCTCACATTTCGTAACACTCAGCTTTCGTAATGGATTTCCCGTTTCGATCCTCAAATTACTGGCCTAATATTGTTTAAATCAGCCGCCATTTTTTAAACCAGTGGTTCTGGAACGGTAGACAAGATTCTTTTTTCTCAGAATAACATACAATTTCGAAATTTACAATCAAACCTTCTCCTGCGATTAGGTCGATTTTTTGGCCCTGGCTCAAGACCTATTAAGACCGACCACTTATCGACTGTGACAGATTTAAAACACGCAGGCAAGTCGAACATTTCGATAGCCAGCAATACGCGAGAAACCCACGTTTTAGAACACTAAGTACAAGGGACTCCACCCCATAAAGTTAAAATTATAAGAAATTCAAAACTCATCTTTGGGGATAAGAGAAAAATAAATAAAAAAATTAAACACGTCTATATCGAAAAAAGACTATGATTGAGTGATAGTAAAATGAACCATGAATTCGCTCTCCCCTCTCCTGGACTCCTTTTCTTCTGTCCATTTTCTTCTTTGCAGAAGCCTTGGCGTTCAAATCAGCCCTCGTCAACAAGATGGCAGGCAAATGGCCATGTGGTTTATGTTGCAAGTTGTACACGTGGCCGGAAGGCAACGGTCCTCCAATCACATCCGGTCTATACCTCCTTCTGGATTATCCTAGAAGAAAACGGTCATCTTCATAAATTGTTTACTGTTAAAAAGAAATTTATTGGTCTATATTCCGTTACAGCTTACTTGAAAATCAAATTATATTAGTTTCTTAAAGCCTAATTTTGTTTAAAACCTCTAAAATAATCTTTAATAATTTTGCTAAGAACTTTAAAAGCTCAAAATTAATTTATTCCTTATACGGCTATTTGAATGGAAAGTATCTTTCAACATTAGTAATATGTACATATATGCACTCTTAAACACAAAGCTTAAAACATTTCATTATCTCTCAATCCATCTTTTCTAGAAATTTTTCCTATAAATATTCACAACTATTTGTAATTGATTATAGATCTCATGTTCAATTTTCTGAAGTTTATGATCTTTTCTCTAACATATCCTAATTCAAAACATCATAGGGTAAATGCACCAGAAGCTGAAATGCCTGAGGAAATTTCTTTGAACTTTTACATGTAAAAACTTTAATATAAATGTTATTATATTTTTCTTTGATTCAATTTATCGAACTACTTCTTACCTTGAAGCATTTTAAATCTATGAAACATCCATCTAAATTTTAGAAAATTCTAATTTAAAGAATGGTTTTGTTTGTTGCACCTGAAGCTGACAATGATTTGGAATATTCTGTTTGCAAAATTTTAAATTATGCGAAATAAAGTGTTGATATTTTATATTGTTCATTTAAAAATATATATTAACAATGATTACCTTTAATTTATTATAAAATAAACTACATTTCGTTTTTTTTTTTTACTAGGAATTTTGGGATAAATCAAAGTAGTTATCGAAAAAAAGGCAATTCTGATTTATGGTGTCCTTATTGATAGCTGGTTATTTCTTGGTCGCTAAGTGGACCGTGAGGGATCTTTCTAATCTGCCACTCATTGTTTTGGTCACAGGCAAGACAAAAGTAAAGCAAACAAATATACAAGGGAAAATATAGAAACCAAAAATTTATGAAATAAAGATCTAGGAGGCCCTGAAATCTTATTATTTTCATTTTTCAAGGAGAACTTCAGATATTGGTACATTGTCAATAAATGATGCTCTTACCCTTTATATTTCTAAAACATCGACTTAAATGGGTTTACTTATTAAAAAAATTCAGTTTAATTCTGAACAATTATTCTCATAAACAATTGCTTCTGTTTTTTGATGTTTTTTTTTTTTATTTAATTATTAATTACAAATCTGGAAAATTTGAACAAGAACTTTAGTTTTATATGCATTTTTCATTAGCTTTGTAATTAGTAGTTTGTTGTGGTACAGGTGATATTGAATAGTGAAAGGGATGTTGATGATTAGGGGAGTGGTTCCCCACAATGGAAGGTGTGGTAAAAGTAGTTTTTTGTCATTAATGAGTCTCTATTTGTTCTAAGGCAGCATCAATATAGAATGCATCATCACTGACAAAGAATCAATTTCCTTGGCATTGGTAGTTATAGATATAACATCACTTTCCTTAAAGATATTTCACAATTATTACTAAAAATATGCAATGTCACTGTTAATATGCATTTCGTTCCAGTCACATTCTAGGTAATCAAAATTGTTCCCACCATTCATGATTGAGAATATTGTATGTTTTTATTTGATGAGATCTCAAATATAATATTTAACAGTGGAATCATTTTTTGTAACACGAGGATTTATCAACATTTAAATAAGTATAAGTTTATTTTTATGACTATCAATTTTGTTCTTGTATAATTAATTAATATGTATTTATCATCAGGTAAGCATACAATTTCTGTTTAATAGTTCTAGTTAAAATTTCTAGTCTAAAATTAAATATACTCAACAGAATCATTTGGTAAATTCATCTTAATCTATGTACTACCAAAAAAGTATTATCTGTATGTATAAAAATTACTATTGCTTCAGGAATTACTTTAATGTTTACTTACCCTTCAGTGAAATAGGGTATATTTCACTATACTATATAATTTATTTATATATTACTAAATTTATGATAAACCGATTATAAATTTGATACTTATTAAACGTTGGTGGAAGTGCGAAGGTATAAAACTCACAAATATGATAAAGTAGAATGAAGGATACCTGTTAAAATCTCACATCAGGAGGCACCTACATCCCACACAATACCCCTGCATAAATTCATAGCTCACTGTGTTCTAAATGGAGCAAGACCTCTTGTTTTATCTCAATGGAATATTAAGAGTAGAGCTCCCTATATTTATAATTAGTTACCTTTAAATTCTAAAACTTAAGAAGATTTGAGTCTCTGAAATATAAAAAGATTACTTTACATGAATAATCTAAAATTAGTAATTCTAAAATCATTCAAAAATTATTTTTGTTGAATGGTTAATGTTTACATCAAACATTTACATTTTTCATGCAAGCTTAGTTCAATCAAAGTGGTGGGGAAGATCACGACTCATTTAATGGATCATCCACAAAATAATGTTGAACATGCCCAGGCCAGATTCAAATGTATTTCACTTATAACTTCAGGATGCTAAGATGAGGGCTTAAATCACCCAGTTGTGGTAGTTTCTATAATTTATAAACTTTCTTTAACTTTCAAGAACAAAAACAAAACCACTGGTGGATGTCCGGGGAAGACTTTCGGGCTGAATCCTTCAAAATGTAAATTTTTTTCATTGGTCCATAATTGTTACTGTGATACATCTCAGCTAAACACTTTAATAATCACAGTATGTTCTATTTTTTTAAAATTATAATGCATATACAGCTACTAAATATAACCATTTTTAATAAAAGAAATATTTGAAAATTATTTCTAAAAGTTTTATTATTCAGGTAATTACATTTTTAATACAACATGAAGAATCACTTGAATACCATTTCATAAAGGTAGTTAGTTTCTTTCTTTTTCTTCCCAATTAATTATCATTAGCAATATAACTTAAGATATTGATTTTAGTCGGATTTTATATATTACTAAAGTTATGACAAGCCAAATATAAATTTTATACTTATCAAACGTTGGTAGAAGTGCGAAGGTATAAAACTTGCAAATATGATCAAATAGACTGGAGTATACCTAGTAAAATCTCACATCAGGAGGCACATACCATATGATACTCCTGCGTATATTCATGATTCAGTATATATAAAGTTTTATATATAAATGTTGAATCATATAAACATTGTAGTATTAGCAAAATATATATATATATATATATATATATATATATATATATATATATATGTATTTATATATATATATAAAGAGCTCTCAGGCTGAAGCCCCCGAAATTAAATCCTGAATCTGCTACTGAACAAAACTAATTGTTATAGATTTCTGCTTCAAACCGCTTCATTTACATTTGATCTCCGAATATGTGAATATTTATATTCATAAATCTAATTACTTTTTTATTGCACTTCTGAAAGGAAACATTGGAGAGGTACGACCAAATGTCAATGAAGTGTTTATAATAGTTTGTCACAGTGAGAAACCTTAGTTTTCATTTAAAATTGAGAAACTTCTCTTACATTCTCAATAGTGCTTTCTTAAATCCAGGTTAAGAACCACTGCCTTTAGCTTAATACTTTTGTTGTTGAATATGCTATTATAGTATCCATGAAACAGAAAACGCCTAGGTTCAGTTATAAAAAGACAAGGTAAAAAACTCAGTGTATGTAAACTGTACTTGAGACAGAACAAGAATTTTTGCCATTGAGCAAACTTTATTTTGGCATTCCATATGGCACTCTTATCACACTCCATTTAAAGTAAGCAGTTTTATAATATTTTAATTAATATATTTCAAAATATGTGTCACATCATGACATTTTCTCATTTTACAGACTGTATTAAGTTCAAAACCATCAAAAAGCAGAAACAAATATATTTCACTTACCTTAAAAATAAAATTTCCCTTAACTTCAGCCACCCAGATAAAGTTGTCCCCTTTGTCCCCTCTGAATTTTGGTATATAACTGTAGAGTTTATTTCAGTGATTTATGCAAATTCCTAGTAGATAAGATGGGCAGCCTATAAACATTTTGACCTAGGAATATGAAACAAGAGATTTTCAATAAAAAGATAGAATAGAGGTCCAGGTGTATGCAGGCATACAACTTAAAGGGAAAATGTTCTTTAATAATTCCCTTCAAGTGATTATTTATCAAAATAGATTTCAAAAATGGGAAGGTGGAAATTTTGTAGATCGTAAACAATAAATAATTTGCAAAAATAGATATAATAAAGGAGGTATAATACAATTCATTGGTGTGATTGTATTCTATAAGATATTAGTCTTTGTTAATTTATATAAAATCAAACAAACTAAAATTAATACATTAGAAGTTTTTTTTTTAATACATTGGAGAACACATTAGTAGTTTATTCTGGTATTTTTTTTTCATCAGATTTACTGTAAAGTGGGTTACAATCAGTGATAATTTAATTTTTTTATATAAGCAGCCACACAGCGAAAACCTGTAGGAACAAGTTTATTGGAATCTACGGCTTTAGCTTCTCTGGTCAGTATTGGGTTTGTACTAATTCAGAAATCTAAATTCAAAATTTTAATTGAAACATTACATCTTTGTCATTATCGTTCAATAAAAATTGAAACGAAATTGAGTTCATAAAATAAAAGACATGCAGTATCTTCAATATTTGTTTAGTTTTTCACTTACAGGCTTTTGCTGCAATCTAACTGTTGATACTAATTGAAAGTTTTATAATAATAAGGAATGTATTGAATAAAATTAATTGTTACTGTCGATTTAATTTTCGTGTAGCTAAATTAATATTTATTGATTTTTATAATAATACAACCAAAAATGATTAAGGCTTAGATTTACTTGAAATAACTACGCTCATTTCATCTATGCATCAAAGCATCTATTATATGTCAGTCCAAAAATTTACTTTTCCTTCATTCAGAACAGTTACGTACAAAATATCAAATATGATATTTTTTTTTCAGTAAAATCTATTTTTAATTCAGTCTTCAGAATGAACAGAAGGCAAAAGGGCTCATG